GGAGGAGGAGGAGGAGGAGGCGGGGGCGGAGGACGGAAGCGGAGGAGGAAGAGGAGGGGGGGAGGGGAGGAGGAGGAGGAGGGGGAGGAGGAGGAGGAGGAGGAGGAGGAGGAGGAGGAGGAGGAGGAGGAGGAGGAGGAGGAGGAGGAGGAGGAGCCACCGCACGGGCCACGGGCCACCGACTGGGGCAATGGGGGGGGCCACGGGGCCGCCGGCCACGGGCCACCGAGGGGCAGCGCCTGGCCGCCGGCCACGGCGCAGGCCACGGGCAGCCGAAGGGTTGCAACGGCACGAGGGGCAGGGATGCTCCAGCCGACAGCGACAACGACGACGACGGCGCCGCAGATACCGACTACGACGATACCGCCGACGTCGACGTCGACGAAGACGACGACGCCGACGCCGACGACGACGAAGACGAAGACGACGACGACGTCGCCAACGGAGACGACGACGAGGGAGGAGAAAAAACGACGACGGCGACAACGACGACGACAACGACGATGGAGGAGGGAAGACGGCGACGACGCGAACGGCTGGCCTGTACTGCCAGGAAGAAGAGCTTCGAGCGCCAGGAAAGTGCCGAAGCTTGGGGTTTTCACGCGTCGGGCCCGGGGAGGCGATGGTCGTTCGACGCTTCGCTGGCGTGTGGGGCAGACACTGTCTGGGTGCTCGAGAGCATTTCTGGGATGTGGTCCTCAAGCACGATGGGAACAACATCACATGAGGGAGAGGGAGGGCCGGTCCAGGAAGCCACGCGAGATGGACCTTCTGAATGGCAGCCATGGACCACGGGCAGTCGAAGGGTGGCCGACGACTATGGCACGATTCTGGGACCACGTCCATTCGACCAGGGGGTCCAGAAATCAGGAACGTCCCAGTGTCACACGTCCGTAGATGCGCAGCTTACGCAGGGAATGTACACAGAATTGCCCCTCCTCGGAGGTGCAGCGGCAGCTGCGAGCGGCGAAGTTTCCCATCCGCTTCGTCTTCGCTGCGCCCCGGAAGAGCAAGGCGCAGCTGGAGCAGGAGGCGAAAGGGGCCGCCGAGAAGGTCGACTTCCAGGACGACCGGAAGATGGTCATCATGATGATCGGCGTCATGAACTCGTTCAACCAGGTCTCCATGTTCGATTTCGAGTGGCCCCCAATCTTCACGAAGCTGGCGGCGATAGCGGGGCAGTTCTCGCTCAATTTCAACTTCTTCCAGCCGGAGTGCTCCGTGGAGACCCCCTTTATCCAGAAGTGGATCACCTTCTTGGCCATCCCGTACATGATGATGGTTCCGCTGATCATAGCACTGGCGATGGCATCGACGGCCACGGTGATCGGGAAGCGCGGCTTCGGCGTCGGGGTGAAGCTGTGGCTGCTGAAAAACGCGTTCGCGCGCTGCTCTCAGGGCCTGGTCGATTGCAGGGGTGGACCCGATCGGTGTTGTGGCGATTTCGTGGGCCGTTTTCGTTTCGATGTCGTTTTGCAGCAAAGCCGAACTCCAGACAAAACGAGGAACAGCGAAAACAAAACGAAAACGAGAACCGCTGTTTAGGTCCAGCCCTGGTCGATTGTGGGGCGGTGCCGAGCGCAGCTCCCGCGTCGCGCGATCCAGCCGCGATCCCGATCGCGGTGCTCGCCCGTGTCGACTGCAGGCCGCCTGTGCGGGCCGCCCTGGCAGCTCGCGCGACCCGCTCCTCATCGCAGGGGTGGACCCAGACGGTGTTTTTTGGCGATCTCGTGGGCCGTTTTCGTTTCGATGTCGTTTCGCGGTAAAGGCGGATTGGAAACAAAAGCGAGGGACAACGAAAGCAACGCGAAAACGAAAGACACCGTTTAGGTCCAGCCCTGCCTCATCGTTTTCATGCTGTTGCTTATCCTCCTCCTCCTCATCCCGGGCCCAGCTGGTCGCGTGACCTTGGATCGCGGGATCATTGTGGCTGCGGTCGGCGAGCGCGCGACGACGACGGTGGTGGCGGTGGCGGCGCTGGTGGTGACGGTGACGACGGGAAGGGGGACCGCTGGGTCCTCCAGATTTTGACACGCCCTGGTTCGGGCAAGCTGGTTGCTTTTTCGGTCCAATTTTTTTCCTCAGGCAAAGTCATGCGGTACAGATTTAAGTGTTTCGCCTGGCAACACTACGGTCCAAGGTGCCTCCAGATATGTCAAAGTAGCCGCAGAAGGCACCAAGAGGCCATCAGGAGGGCCTCCCGGGTTTCAGGACGCGCCAAGGGCTGCCGAGCGGGCTCCCCAAGGCGGTCCAAGAGGCTCTCCTAATGCGCCAGGGTACCCCCCGAAGGCCCTACCGTTTTTTTGGTGGTATTCTTCAGCACCGTAGTAGCAGCAACAATGGTCTCAGAGGATTATGAGCGGAACGACGACGACGATCAAGGACTCGGATCCAGAACTGTGGACCGCGGTGGGGCGAGAGCGCGATAATGAACGACGGGAGTAAAGCGTCGATCCCAAAGCGAAGCCAACGTTGCAGCAGGAACATCACTCTGAAACACCGGAAGCGTCCCGATTGAAACAACGATGTCGAAGAGCACACTTTGACACCCTGCACGCAGAAAACCGCACGCGGGAAAAAGCCTGCCAGGCTGGAGGCTACGAGGCTCCCCAAAGCCCCCAACAGGGTCGAGTGCGCACCCGAGATTGGCCGAGACGGCCTCCCAGACTGCCCCTCGCCGAGGCGGCTCCAAGACGCCCCCTACCGCCCCAAGACGATCCCAAAGATCCACCCAAGCGGCTTCAAAAAAGGCCCCATGTGGTCTCAGTAGTCCCCAGGGTGCCCCCAATTAGCCTCCAAGATAGTCCCAAGGAGCCCAGGGCCTCACGAGCTCCCCAAGAAGAGCCAGAGATCGCAGCCTGAGGGCCGCAGGCTGACAGGCCATCGATACTGCGCCCTTCTTAAGGGGAGGCGCTCTCCACTTGCCGTGGCGGCGGTGCCTCTGGCCGGGTGTGTCTGCATCCAGACATTTTTTCTCGCCAGCCCCTTTCGGCTCCACATTTGTTGATGTGAATCCGAGGTGGCTCCGCAAAAACAGTTTGGTGCCTGGTCTGTGCTCGGCGAAATGCATCCTTGTGAGGAGGACAGTTATGGGGCCGAAGGGGCAGAGGAGGCGCAGGAGAAAGGATGGAAGAGCAGAACTCTAAGTCGTTGCTGCTGCATGTCCGTCATCATGCTTCTGCCTTTCCACCTCGACCGGATCCTCGTGCCGTTCGCTTGCGCGCAGAGGGGAGAGGGCCTGTATTTTGTGGACGAGATGCCGGATCTGGGATCACAAATTTGGTGTCCGGGAGGTTAGGCAGCCCAGGAAGGAATTTTCGAGGGGAGTCGGGCAACACGGCCTTGAAGGAAAGGGCAATAAGCACAAGCAGCGTGTTTTCCTGCACAGGAGACGCCGTGCGAATTTACGGACCCGGTTTACAGGCTGATGTTCAGGATCAGTGGTACCGCATTTAGCATAATGATGTTCTTTTACAGCGGTATGATTTGGTGCGTCTGGAAGAGCTTCCACTGGCAGTATGGCACCATTCGGCGCGAGCACATCCCCTTCTACGTCGCCATGGTGGAAGTGAGCACCTTCGGCCAGCGCGGCTACATCGCGGAGGCGAGGAATAAGGTATATGCTAACATCTGCGCGGTGAGGACGTTCGACCCAGGCTCGAGCAGGCTGCTGGATCGCGAGATCCTGTGCCAGGCGCTGGGGGTCTGGTCACTGGACACCTGCTGGAACGAGGGACAGGGACAGGGGGCAGAGGAAAGGAGGAAGGCGGGAATGGAAGCGAGACGAGGGGTGGGGGAGAGCAAGGGGACGGGAGGCTTGGGAGGGAGGTGTCGGATCGGACACTCCGGGGCATGGCGCACTCCAGCTACGAATGCTGCGAGTGGAGACCCTGCGCCGCCCGGGCCAAAGCGGGCTGTGGCTTTCTTCACGACTGCCGCCCCAACGGCTCGGCTCCAGGCGCGCATGAATGCTGCGCCCCCGGAGGCGGACGCTTCTGCTATCTGGTCAGACTGCCGCACGTCCCGCGCGCGGCGGTCGTGTGCTTCCCTCCCTCTGGAAGGGGACGCTGGAAACTCTACCCCACCCTTCGGTATCCCTGGGGAGGGGATCTGGGCTCCCGAGCGGAGTCAGAAGTGAACAGCGAACTCGGCCTTCCCCTCGACGCGGTTCTCGGCAGTTCGCTCTCTCTGCGCCTCGGTCAGAGGATAGGGGGCGGGGGAGGGGGCGGCGGAGGCGGGACAGAGGGCTGAGAGGAGGGAGACACGAGGCCACCAGCGTTGATATATATATATATATATATATATATATATACACATATAGATGTATACATATATGTATATAACACACACATATATATATCTACATATATGTAAAACATATTTGTGCATATGTACACGTATCTATCTATAGTGTGCGCACACACATATATATATAGCCCGCTGAACCTACCATGAACCCTTCATACCTCAAAACCTATATGAATTGCTATAGTTTCCCTGCATTTTCGGAGAGCCCCGGCGGGACCTCCCCAGAAGCCCCCCCAAGCCGTTCCCACGTCATCACCATCATCACCATCATGTGTACTCGTCATCACCATCACCTCATCATTATCTTGTGTACTTCATAATCATCATCATCACTATCATCATCTGGGATACTCATTATCCTTATCATGATCATCATCATCATGGTCATCGCCGCCGCCACCTCCCGATACTCAACAGGCTCCCTCCCCAAGCAGAACTTGAAAACCCCATTCTACTCCACACCCTCCGTTCACTCCACACCTTCCGTCTGCTCCACTCCACCCGTCTCCAACACACCTCCCGATACTCAACAGGCTCCCTCCCCAAGCTGAACTTGAAAATCCCATGCCACTCCACACCCTCCGTCCACTCCACACCTTCCGTCTGCTCCACTCCACCCGTCTCCAACACACATCCCGATACTCAACAGGCTCCCTCCCCAAGCTGAACTTGAAAACCCCATTCTACTCCACACCCTCTGTCCACTCCACACCTTCCGTCTACTCCACTCCACCCGTCCTCAACACACATCCCGATACTCTACAGGCTCCCTCCCCAAGCTGACATACATCTCCTACTCTCTCACAGTTTGACTTGCGAGTGTCTCTACCTCTTTGACTCTTTCTCATCTTCCTCTTGTACACGCGCGCGCACTCCAGCACGACGACCCACCGACCCTGTTTTCCTCTTTGAACTTCCACGAGGAAAGCAGGGCTCATGGTGGGTTCAGGGACATATATATATATATATATATATATATATATATCCGTAAGGGCTTCGCCCTCTGTCGCCGGCCCCTCGCCATCATAATGTAGCACGTCGGAGCCTGTACTGGGATTCCTGGGCGCTGTCCTGAGGGCATCTGGGAACGCCATGGGCGGATGGATAGGCATCCGCAGGCCATACCCGGATGGATTTCTCATGGGACGCTGTGAAGCTTTCCTTCGAGCTCTCTCCTCACGTTCTGCACGAGCAGCTCTCTCGGTACGACCGGGGACTGCTTTGCGGCCATCTTGGGCCAGATCGCGCGGCTGCTGGTTCTTTCCAGCCGTCGCCCGTTTTCGTGGATTCGTGGCTGCGGGTCCACCGCCGAGTTTTCCAACGGCGGGGGGGGGAGGGAAACGTTCCCCGAACACATATCCCAATCCAGAGAATCGTTATTGTTGTTGCCTATGCAGCGTAATGTGCGAGGGATCGTGGCCTCTGGGGCGCGAGTGTTGAGTGATTTGCGAGGGATCGTGGCCTCGGGGGCGCGAATACTGGATCATGTACTCGGCATCGTGGCCTCGGGGACGCGAACATCGTAGAATTGAAGAGGGATCGTGGCCTCGAGGCGCTAATTTTTTATAATGTCAGAGGAACCGTTGCCCCCGGCGCGCGAAGATAATACAAAGGAACCGTGGCCTCGGGGAGACGAACACTATATTGTTTGGGAAGGATCGTGGCCTCGGGGACGCGCAAATTGTAGGATATGCAGAAAGGATCGTGGCTTCGGGACGCGAATATATTTATAATTAACAAAGGATCGTGTCCCTGGGGCGGGAACATTGAGTAGTTTTCTGGGGATCGTGGCCTCGGAGGCGCAGATATCATGTATGTTACGAGGAATCGTGGCCTCGGGGACGCGATCATTGCGTAATCTGCGAGGGATCGTTGCCTCGGGGACGCGAACATTGTACAAATCATAACAAGGATCGTGGCCTCGGAGACACGGACGTAGCGTAATTTGCTAGGGGTCGTGGCTTCGGAGGCGCAGGCATTGTGTAATTTACTAAGGATCGTGGTCTCGGGGACGCGAACGTTGTATACTTTACCAGGGATCGTGGCCTCGGGGTCACGAATACAATGTAATTTGCGTGGGATCGCGGCCTCGGGGGCGCGAATCTGAAGTATTGTTGCATGTCCCAAGGCCCCTCCAGGATTTCTGAGAACCTGATTCGGGGACGCTGGCCAGGACGGTTTGGGGCTCCACCCCTCGCGCGGATTTGAACAGCTTACAGTAGGAAGTAGAAGTAGGACTATCATATTGGAGACTTGAACTGATATACACATATATTTATATACACATACACATAACCACACATATATCTAGACATATATGTCCTCCTGGGTGGAGTCCTGGGGTTCGCGGGTCGGCTACCGGTCTCGGCTTCCAGGCTCCTGGGAGGGTGGAGCCTGGATTCTACCTGGGCTGCGGGGCGCCTGAGCCTGTGGAACTCGGGAATTTGACCGAGAGCTCCGAGCACGCCTGCAACAGTCTGGCGCACAGGCTCATCCCCACCCCTCCTCCTGCACCGACCCCACGCAAGAATCCCTCAGACCTTCCACCCCGGGACCGGAGCTTCCGCCTCCTGCCTCGGCGCTGAATCCCTGAGAAACGACAGCGAGGACGGAGGTAGCAGTTGACTCAGCGAGGGCTTCACTGAGGCCTCGGGGGTAGACCTTGGCGGCCGTCCTGAACTCCCCCCTAGGCTCCGTTCTGTCAACAAAAGGTGGTATGCGCTCCCCGTCCGTGCGAGCAGCGTCTCCCACTGGGTGTGCTGGTGAGACGCGCACGGAGGCCTCTCACTCTGAGGCCCGCGAGGCACGTCGGGGCCCTCCTGGCCTGGCCGCCGTGCTCGCGCTGGTCTAGGTCGGTGGTCGAGACCACCGGGCAGCTCTGCAGCGCGAGGCGCGGCTCCCTCGTCCAAGAAGTGACCGCCTGCTCCCGCCATGTAGCCAGGATGGGGTGCTCCACCCAGGCCACCGAGGCTGTTCGAAGGTGGGCCCCCATCAAATGCATCATCGCCTGGAGCAGCGCGTTGCCCAGCGAGAACTGCAGCCTCTGCTTCGCCGTCGCCTCCTGGGTGCCCCAGTGCGCGTCGTGCTTTCTCAACGGCGGTGTTGCTGGGGTGTCAGACCACCTCGCTGCACTTCATGTCTCGCAGGGGGGACCTCCACCACTGATGATCACTTGCCTTGAGTAGATCGCTTCGGTGGAGGTGGCTACGCTCTGTGACTTCATCAGGTTGCACCTGTCCGCATCAATTGCCACGTCACTGCTCAACACCGTGACGAAAACAGCCTCCTTCACCTCGCCTTACATTGCCCAGCTCTGAGGGCAATCTTATACTTCACATTTGCGCCGAACTCCACAGTAAAGGTTGAGAACGAGAACCTCAGCACGTTGGATTCTCCATGGCACTGACACGGTCGAGATGCCTTGACATTCTCCAGTTCTGAACTTGTCCAGGGTGTAGCTTTCCAGCGGTTCCGATACCTGCTGCGCCTGCTGCTTGACGGTCTTGGCCTGCAGGGTCGCCTTGGCCACGTAGTCCAGCGCAGACTTCGCCTCCTCATTGTTGACGTGCTTGCTCCATTCTGTGACCAGGTTCGTTTTGGGCGCTGCTGTGCGTACAGCTGGGATGTCTACTCTCTTCCTGAAGCCTTTGTTTCGGCAGCCCTTCATGTGCTGGCTCGTCTTCAAGCGGTAGTAGGCTGTCCTCCATCGTCAGCATGCGGCAGATTTCAGAGGCAATTGCAAGGTGCTCCAGCAGAAGATGTGGACGCTGGAAGTGCATCATGCAGGCGTGGCATTGTTTAGCCCCATCTCGTCCACTTGCTTGCCAGACTCGTCATGGTCCAGTGCTCTTTGGTAATGTGCACCCGCAGCCCTCCCTGTCTTCTGAACCCTACTGCGCACCAGGGGCATGGCCATCGCGTCGCTTGCTGCTGCTGCACTGGCGGTGGAGGTGGTCCGAACGGGCTGCTTGGTCTTTTCGACCGAGGTACTTCTGCAAGCCGCCGCCACTGCTTGGATATTCCTGCCCAGCTTCGCCGCCGCTTGCAGTACGTCGGTGAGCTTGTGCTTTCAGCTCTTCTGCAACGCTCTCACTGCCAGGTCGCCCAAGTCCTGGAACAAGTTGGTGTAGTGCCGCATCCAGTCGAAACCGTCCATTAGCAACATGGGCCAACTCTGTCTCTGCGCTGTCGCCAGCATCATCATCATCATCACCATCATCATCATCATCATCATCATCATCATCATCATCATCATCATCATCATCATCATCATCCTTGCCATGAGCGCGCAGACGGTAGTGGGCCCTGATTGCAGCAGTTCTCCAAAGAGTCAGCCGAGCCACGCTGAAGAAATCTCTGGGCCCCGTCCGTCCCGTCTTGAGGAGT